GAAGTTAAAAAACCATGGAAGGTAAATTCATAGTCAAACATACCAATTTTGGGGGCATCTTAGTTTACAACTATAAGGTTGATAAGAGGTATCAGAATTTCACAAAGCATTCTTTTTTTATAATGTACAGAATTTTTGTCAAAATACTGATTTTACTATTCAAGAAATACATAATGGTTTCCAAGCAGCTATTAGTACTTGTGTCGTTTTTGTATAGAATGTGTTTCAATATGTCATGGCACAAACGGAGAATCAAGCATAAAATACATTAACAGTATTTTACATTTTAAGAGTAATGAATACTAGGTCTATCTGTGCAAAGTGATTTCGGTAAATTAAGAAACATATATAGAAAATTCCAAAAGAAAAACTCTCAAGACAAGCAAACTTAGAAAGCCAAGGAAAAACTTCTAGAACTTGAATTCAGTAGATAATTCCTTAAGAGGAAAATGCGTAAACAAATACTGCTAAAGTGAAACCCATCCGACCCTACAAGAGTTTTTGCAGATTGGCATGCAGCTTATAGGGACCCCCTCCTCCCACCAGAGGCCTCTTGTATCCACCGCAGCATTGCTTTTTCAAACACAAGACCAGTAAATACTACATGCTGTGGCTTCCTGGTGAGCATGAAATTACAGTAATGTTCATTTTTCTAACTCTAAGACTCATTGCTAAAAATGTTCAAGCACTTCTTTGGAATCATAGAATAGAGCATGGAAGAAAGCAATCAGGGAGCCAAGCATCTCCGTGAGAGGTGCACTTGCTCACTCACCCATGAATAAGGTGTGAGTGGCTTCTCAGGAACGCACCCTGTTCAGGGCAGTGAGAGTGTGAGGTCAGCACACGACGTGGGAAGACAGGAATGAGAGGTTTATCTCATTCTTCTAGACTGTTTCGGGTGTGAGAACGTGGAGTAGTGTTCCCTTACAAGTTTATTTCCCTTTGTGCAGAGTCATATAATTAGTTTCCTTCAAAGGTCTCAGGAATGACTCATGAAAAAAGACTCTTCGATTTAGCCAATGCAGTAAGATGTTATATATCATAGATAGCTCCTTAAGCCCAAAGAACCTTCTCCCTCACATCTCTCTTTCCTAGAACCTCAGTTGACATTTCTCATTCCTTTTTAATGCTTATAAAACTTTCAGGGATTATAACTGTAGGTTCCCATCATTTCCTGGCCTCTCTATAGCCATAGACTTACCAGCCATGTGACCTTTAAGTCAACTTAGCTTAGTGAAGGTAGCTCCAGAGATAGCCTCAAACCCATGTTCAAATTTCAGCTTTGTCAGGCCGGGGATATAGCTCAGTGGCATAAGCACCTGCCTGGCAAGCACAAGGTCCTGAATTTGATTCCCACTACCAAAAAACAAAACAAAATGAATTTTAGCTTTGTCTTTCCTTAGCCTTGTGACTTTAGCCAGCCCAAGTGCCTCAGCATCTTTATCTATGAAAACGGAGACAACACCTGCCTGCACTTACACACAGGACTGTAGTAGACTAAAGTTGAAAAGGACGCAATACAAAAATGTATGAAAAACATCTTTGTAGCAAGATGTTTTCATACTATTTTAAGTTCCTTATGCCTTTTTCTTCTTTATCAGCTAGTAATTACTGCTGTTGAGATTTTAATTTACTTTCTTCCAGTCTTTTTCTAAAGAAAGTTTACAAGTATTTGTGTTTGTAGATTTACTTTTTAAATGTAGGTATTTTGTGACCCAGTTATCAACTATGAATTCAATGTATATATTTATTTTGTATTATCAGATTATGCAACTTCCATATATTAAATATTACTACATATTCCTAGATTAATAAAAGTTCATCCAGTACATGAGAACATCTTAATACAATGTCCATCAAATATATAAGCAATATGATGTGCAGCATACATGTATGCAACTTCATATTGTTAAAAGTTATGGCCATACATGGTCAATAATGGCTGCATTAGCAGTAATGTTACTGTTTCTATCAAATAAGTGAACCATGAATTATTTGGTTATTCCCTATTTTTACCTCATTAGAAACACTTGTTTCCAGGTTTTTAGTTTTGGCTTTGTTTTCTTTTTGGTTGATGTCACTGTAGTTATTTACTGCAATAAACAATACTGTGATAAACACCCCTATGCAGAACCTTTAATTCCACAGAGGAGATTATTAGAACTGAAGCCATCTGACCAAGGAATATGAAATTTTCAGTCTCTTGCCAACATACTGTCAGATTCTGCTTCTGGAATACTGTGCTATTTAGACTGCATCAGAGAGAATTGATTTTACAGTAGCCATCTCAGAATTATTAACTATTTTAGTCACTACTGCTTTTGTAGGCCAAAAAAGATAGAATTTATTATTTATATTTACATAATTACTACTGAAGTTTAAATTTGTCATGTTTATTGATTTAATTATTTCTGCCTTCAATTATTTCTTATTATTCTTCCCTCTTTTAGTAATTTCTTTATTGATTTATGATATTTAAACTTTAAAATTAATTTCTTTTATTATAACTCAGGAAATGTTCCAAATTTTATCTGCATTTTAATAGTGATTGTGCATTTTGACGCTGCATTTTAAGTTTCAAAACTCAAATTTCTAGACAATTTCTTCCATTGCTTTCCTTTTTTATATTTTATAAACTAAAAACAGGAAATCTCTACTATATCTATACATCAATTATTTCAATAAAAATCAGTTCCTATGTTCAAAGACAGCTATCTAGAATAAATTTAAGGCCGATGATACTGATTATTGCCAGTCTGTTGGGAGGCAATTTGAAATTATCAGCCAGGAGATTATTTAGTATTTCTGGTGCAGGAGAAGCTGGCATCACCCCAGACACAGCTCTATTAATAGGCAACATATGTCGCTTGTGCTGGGGCATTTAGCCAACGGTGAGGACCCAGAAATTCTGACATTTGGAAAGCTGGTCTGCAGTGAAGCATCTGTAAGTCTAAGGGGACTGGGTTCAGGGCTACGTGACACTGGGGCCATGGCAACAAGGAATAGGACAGTGTCAGTATCAGTTCGGCTGAAGAAGAGCGGTTTGCAGATATCCAAGAATCAGAATCTGTGTTTGGAAAGGTGAGTCTAAAAGGAGGTCAGCTGACCTCTCAGTCCAAGGATTTCTCCATTCCCTCACCAGTCAGCTTTGCTGACTAAAGGCAAGCCTTTTGCCTGCTTGCTGTTTAAATTTTATATTTCTGTCTTTGGACATGTCCGTGATCAGACAAATCTGCTTCCTCAGCAGTATGAAAATTAATCATGGCTATTAATACTAATAATTAACATCCACTAACCTCTTATTGTGGTTCAGACCCTGATCTAAGTCTTTTATGCTCACTGAAGCATTGAAAACCCTTTGAACTTACAGAAACTGTAATTTTGTACATTTTATAGTTGAAGAAACTGAGACAGAGAGAAGTTAAATAACTTGTCCAAGGGTTAAGCCAGCATTTGAAACCAGACTGCCTGGTTAGAGCAGGTATCTTTGGGATATTCTATAATATTCTGTATTTACCAATAAGAACTTGGAGGAAATATACTCATTTTATCCATGTGGAATGAAATGTACATGTATTTACATATGTACAGAAAGATATATAAATATGATTTCCTATTTGTAATTCTGGTCCATAAAGATAGAGAGCTAGAAATTAAAGAATTCTTACTTTTTTATGTCTCTGGCTTTCCCACCTTCTAATCTTTTACCAGAAAACACAGAATAGAAAAAAATACAAACATAAGCATTTCACTGCATTCGAAGTTAGTTCTGCTTGAGAGTGGTGTAAGAGAGACACATACTGAACGTAACGATCAAAGTAAGATCAGTCATACGTAGTTGGCTGTTAAATTCCCCTCATCACGAGGGGTTCCCTGGCTGCCTGCTTTGGGCAGAATAGCAGATGGAGAAGAGTGTAGGGATAGATTCCCAGTCGCTGTACAGTGGCAGCATCTCCCCGGGCACCTCGGCACCTAGTAGATGGACGCATGTTCCCACTGTCCTTCTTCCTCTTCCTACCTGGTACCCCATGCAGACGTGGGCGCTCCCATGGCTGAAGTGTCAGAGCCCCTGGTGGCCATGTGCAGTGAACAGGGCACCTGTCCCCTGCATCACCTCACTGCTCACCACATGCCCCCAGCTCCACCGTCCACACACCGCTCGACAGGTGCTTTTCCTGTGAATATGGTCTCCTCCGTCCCCTTTAAGAATTCCTCTGCAGATTCCCGTCTCCTCTGGCGTAAAGGTTCACCTCCCGACCTGCACCAGTGTGCCAGCCCCTTGGTGATGCAGCTCGCCCGCCTGCTTCCCCTCCTTGGCTCTCCCCACTCGAAGTGCGCATTCAGACTTTGTGATCTATCTATGAGGCCTTGAATAAGCTTTGCCTCTCGCGGGTCTGTGTTCTTGCCTATTGTGTTTTCTCTCCTAGAATATCCCCTCCTACCCTCATCCACATCAGGATCCACTTCATCCTCAGTTCATCTGAACAGGTTCTTCGCCATTAACACAATAGCGCTGAAGATGGGCCGCTTAGTGACAGTAACCACAGAAATGGAAGAAAGGTAAAAGGCCAAAAGCAACCTGAAGCAAATGGAAGCGTGCAAATAGTAACATAAGATCCTGGAAAAACTATCCAAGAATGATAGCAAAACCCCATCCTGAGATCAGGGCCAAACGAATCATGTTAGACCTTTCCTTCCCTGAAACTACCCACTTCCTGAGGGAAGAAAGTTAACATGAGCTGCACTTTGAGGTTTAAAGATAATAAAGTAATGGGGAAGTATCTTTTATTACTCATTTCCCCTGTCACACAGTTAGTTTGGTACTCTGTACTAACTGAGACAGATTGATGGATGGATAGATAGATAGATAGATAGATAGATAGATGATAGATAGTAGATAGATAATAGATGATAGATAATAGGTAGATAGGTAGATGATTGATAGATAATAGATGGATGATTGATAGATAATAGTAGATAATAGATGATAAATACATAGATGATAGATAATAGATGATTGATAGATAGATAGATGATAGACAGTAGATAATAGACGATAGATAGATAGATAACAGTCACAGCCAGCAGTAGGTGCACTGTCTTACCCATTGAAGGGCCGTTAGATTGCAGTCCTTGCTTCTCCTATTGAGCTCCATCTAGCTGGTTTTCTGCAGAGGAGCCAAGAATTACTTTTCTAAAAAGGAGTTCTCATTAATCGCCTCCTCAAAGCCGCATTCACACGTTGACATCCTGCCAGACTAGCTTTCCGAGAGCTCAGCATGGCCCGGGTTAGAGTAACAACCAGCGCTGTGTTAGCGTACTGAACTGGGGTCCCTTTCTCAATGCACCTCACGCGACGCTGGCCTGACTGCCGCCCCGGTCTCGCTTGGGCCCGTCCCGAGGGAGCTTCCTTTGGGATCACTGAGAGCATGACAGCAGAGAAAGAGTGGCAAACACGACCGTCGCTCAGATCTTCTCCTAAGAGGCGCATCACTTCCGCTAACCCTCGTTAGCCGGAGCGCCTGACTCCGTGCTTTCTCGGCCGGGGTCCGAATACTTGGCACCCACAGCCTGGAGAAGGAGGGACTTACTTGGTCTCAGGGCTTCTGTCCATCGTCAGCTGGCTGCAAGGCGCAAATAGCGTGTGCGAGGGTCTGGGCAGGAGTGTGGGGAGGTAAGTACTAACAGTAATGCGCTCTATCATGCGTTCCCAGTCGCTGCTATTACTGTTTATTCTTTTCTGCGGAGTTTTAGTAGATTCCAGTTTTCCAAAGTAGATGTAAAGGGTCTTTACCATATTTCTGGCTTATTTCTGTGAGACTCCTGATTATTTTTGTTTGTTTTTGTTTTTGTTTTTGTTTTGTTTTTCCCGGTATCGTGAACCGAACTCATGACCTTGTGCTTGCGGGGCAGGCTGTGTGCCACTGAGCTAAATCCCCAGGCCCCTTTTTTTGTTTTTTGTTTGTTTGTTTGTTTTTTGGACTCCTGATTCTTTTTGTAAAGTTCAGTACTAAACTTGGTGCTACCATCCCGAAGAGAACACACATTTTTATCAAAAGACCAAGTATTTGGTTTTGTTTTGTTGGTTTGGTTTTTGCCAAAATTAGCTTATCGGATCACCATATTAACTTATTCTCAAGCAAATTCTCCTGAATTTTAGACCAGTGTCTGTATTTCTAAATCTTTTGGCTTATAGGGCCTGGTATTTACACTAACTGTATCTTTTGTATTTTCATAAATATTTTAATGAAATGACTATATTTTCATAAATATTTGTTAATAAGATAAAATGAAAGAAAGTGAATGTGTGTACTACATGAAAAAAGCAGTCTTCCATCCCAACTCTCCCACCAAACTGCTCTGTAATAGAGAAAAGTCAGGTCGGTGTCTTTGGGTTTAGAAACTCATGATGTCATCTTAATGGAATCGGTGAGACTAAAGAGCGCTCGTTATTTAATGACTATAATGGGCTCTGAAAGCTTTCTGCAATCTGTATGACCTTGCAATGCCAAGCCACCAAAATCAAGGGGAAAGAAAAAATCACCTAATTACTTTGGAAGTCACTCTCTCCATGAGTCAGGGAAAAAGCTTAACATCTGCGTAGTTTGCCTCACATATCATATCCAAAATTATAGTGACTATTTTGAGTTTGTATTTTTTTAACCGGTTTACCTTGAATCACTTCAACCCAGTACCCTCTCTCAGTGAAATGGACCAGGCTCAGATTTGAGGTAAGACAAGTTACTTTCTTCAGAGGGCTTTTATAAAACTCTTGTTTTACCAAAAATCTATCCACAGCAGTAATTCTCAACTATTTTTATCATTTCTTAGGAAGTTTCCTGGAACCTGAAGTATAGTGTGATGGATGAGTCCAGGTCTTTTCTATTAGCAAGTATGGAAAATTGCATTTATTTGCTTGAAAATAGACCTGCATGTAGTTTCATGTTTGGGACATAGAGAAGAAGTTGAGTGGCTTTATTTTTATGCCTCTCTTTTAGTTCCTTTTTTAAGGTGTGCTTTCTCTCTCGCTCTCTCTCTCTCTCTTTCTCTCTCTCTCTCCTCTCTCTTGTTCCTGCCCCTTCCCTCCCTATCTCTCTACTTTCTACTGTGTAAATGAATGACAGAGAAGTTCTCCTTCCACTGAATTTTTCTCTTGTAGTTGTAAAAGAGAAGATTGCAGAGATACCTCTCCACTCTGCTTCAGCAAGGATATCCTAAATATAAAAGAACTTGCTGGAAACATAGCCACATTCACTGCCAAGAGACAAAATGACATTTTCATATCAAGGATTTCATCCACATGAACTTCTTCAAAACGAACAGGCTATATGGAATAGTATACATCTAACAATTGAAGCCTTTTTGTCTGTGTTGGAATAATTTTTCTCTTTCTAGAGTTAAAAGATTTTAATTTTCAAAATTTTATTTTACATGCAAAGCTATAAATTTTTCTTTGTGGAGTTAGTATAATCCTAAACAGACATAACAGAGCTTTGTTCCTCTTTGTGAGAATGATCTTGCATATTTTATGTATGCTTTAATGTCACAGAGTGACATTCTATTCATCTTGGTGACAAAATCTCCTATTTAGCCAATGCTTATCTAAAGAAAACAATGTGAAACTGTGAGGGAATTACGGACAAGCACAATTCCAAGGAGACCCCAAAATGAACTTTTATGTACAACTAAAGCAGAGCACGTCATGTACTGCCTTATTTTCTTTCAGACCCTTCTGGTCCACCGTGTGAGCATCGCTCATGTCCCATCCAGGCCCTCCACATCTTCCAGGAGGTTGTCACCCTCATCAGCATGCCTGAGGTCCCTCCAGGGGAAGCGTCACTGTGAAGCAGCTGTCTCATTTTTAAGTCACAAATTAAATAGAAAGAATGTGGATTTTGTAGGCTTCTTGTAATATTGGATTAAGGGTACCAAAACCATTTCTGGAAAGATTTTTGTTTCTAGAAACCAAACTATCAGACAACCCTGATACAAGTTTTCTTTGTTGTTTTCCTCATCTCTAAAAGAAATAAAGTGAATCTTTCTCATTTCTAGATGTCCTACTGAAGGCAAGACCTTGTGCTTTTTCAGAAGGAAAATAAAGCTACTTGAACGGCTTCAATATAGAATACGTTAAAAATGTACTTCAAAAATAAAATGTAAATTTTTGAAATTTTGCTGAGTGTCATATATTTTGTTACATTTGCTACAAGCACTGTTTTATTTTCTCTAAAACCCTGACTATATATTATTATGATTCTTATTTTACAGTTTAAATATTAAGGCATATAGAAGGCATACAATGTGGGTGGCAGAGACCGTAAAGGAGAAATTTTGGTCCAAGGTACAAAGTGTTAGTTCAGCAAGATGAGTAACTTATGGAGATATACTACACAGCGTGATGACCACAGTCAGTAAGCATTTAATGCATACTTGAACATTGCTAAGAAAGTGCATCTTATGTTATCACCAAAAAAGACAAATATGGGGCTGGGGATTTAGCTCAGCGACAAAAGCGCCTGCCTGGCAAGCGCAAGGTCGTGAGTTCGGTTCCCGGTACCGGAGAAAAACAAAAAAAACAAAAACAAACAAAAAAGACAAATATGTGACAGATACATTAATTATCTTGACTTAGTTACTTTACAACGCACACACATATCACAGTGTGACACTGTACACTGTAAATATTCACAATTTGTTGATTATACTCTAGTAAATCTGAGGAAAAGACATATACACCTATTCAGAGCTGACAGATATTGAAGCCATGCTTTGAACCTATGCTTTTCATCATGACATGGCGCTGCATGTCCATGTTTCTTTGGGAACATCACTGTCACACTTAGCGCCTTTCCAACTCCACTAGCTCTACCCTAGAATCAAATGGAAGTTATTCAGCACATCCAGGATGACCAAGTAGATGAAGCTGTGCAGCAGGTTGAATAGGAATTAGGCTTCCAGCCCCACTTTATTCCTATGGGAGCTCAGACAGTTTATTTCATCCGTAAAGTGTCAATGATAATAATGACATCTTCTTGCACAGTTATTTTAAGAATTAAATGAGATAATCTTCATAAAGAATTTAGTGTCAGTGCTTATAGCAGTTACTATATAAAGACTGTCTTTTTAATCTTTGCGATTCCCAGGGCCAACTTAATGCCTGGCTTATGGCAGGTTCGCTGATGAATTAGTGAAAACAAGGTAGGCAAGTGCTGTGCTTTAAATACGAATGTCCCTCATGCATTGAAGCCTTGACCCACTCATGCAGAAATGTTCAAAAGTGGGGCCTAAGGAGGTAGCGGATCACGAGGGCACTGACTTCCTCATGGATTGATCCACGGATGAGCTCAGAGCCGGAGCCTGCTGCGAGAGGAGGAAGGTGACGGAAGGGATACTTCTGAGTGGTGTGCCCTGTCCCCAGATCCTTCCTCTCCCTCCCTCCCTCCCTCTCTCTCTCTCTCTCTCTCTCTCTCTCTCTGTGTGTGTGTGTGTGTGTGTCTCTCTCTGACTGTCTCTCTCTCTCTGTCTCTCTCCCCGCTCCTCTCTCTTCCCACTTTTTCTGCTTCCCGGCTGCCACGAAGTGAACAGTGTCCCGTGCCTCACCCCTCTGCCACGACGTCTCTACCCTGGAGCCGGTCAACCACAGATGGAACCCTCTGCAACCAGGAACCAAAGTTAACCTTTTCTCCTGCGAGTCCTGTCTGTCAGGCATTTGTCCCAGCAACAGAAAGGGGAGCAATACAACTGGCTTCATTATCAACGAACGTAACCCTACACCCAAACTAGGTTTTGTAACAAATGTGAAGTCTCAGAGATACCTGAGGTCAGATATAAAGGTCAAAAGCAATAACAGACATAAGCAAAGTAAACATAACCCCTAAAAGTAAAATTAAGGTCAAATCTGGCAGAAACTACAGGAAGAGAAGAGCCCTGGAATATGGGTACATGCACCAGACTATAAAAGAACACCTGCCGGTCATTTTTCTTTCTACTATAAACACATATTTGCTAGGTACTTACCATATAACCAGAGTGACACTAGGCTCTGAGGTTATAATTAATAAGACCATTGGAATTACTTGATTTGTTTATTTATTTGTTTATCCTGCTTGTTGGAACTGCAAAGCAGGCTGCTACTAAAGGTGAACTTGTCTCTCCTTGATTTCTCCTGAGGCACTAGTATGCTCTGTGTCAGATGCTAAACTGACTACGAGTCAAAGTGACACATGTAGAACTTATCTCTACCAAATATTTACAGAAATGGTCTCTTACGTCACAACACACACTTTGGAAATATAAAAAAGAGAGGGAGAGAGACAGAGAGAGAGAAAATGAAAATGGAAAAGAATTTGAGATGGGATTTCTGTGGAGACAGTCAAATTTTGGGCTTCCTCCTATTTGTCTAGGACCGAGGAATCTTGGGAAAAGTATCACTTCTATTTTCTTAGGCACAATGAATGCAGTTTCCAGGCCACATCTGAGGAACAAGGTGCTTCCCTGTAGTTGATGGACACAGAAGCCTGAAGCTGAGCTAGCTAAAACGATCTGTGACAGGCTCCTTAAGAGGGTGGCTTTGAGCTATACTTTCAAGATTTTGTTGCAAGAAGAGTTTTGTGCTTCTGGTGGAGCCAGGATGGGTCCCGTTATGGTTTAAAACTGAAATATCCCCCCAAAGCCTCTGGTGTTTAGAAGGTAAATGGATCATGGGGCTCTATACTCATCTATCAACCATGGACTGAAACCATAAGCTAAAAATACCTCTCTCCCTTTAAGTCATGAGTGAACGGAAAGAGACTGCGGTGGATTGACAAGTAGCCCATTCATAACACTCAGCTGAACTGAACCAGCGTGGTGCTGGGTGTGGGAGGCCCATCTGAGAGTTGTTGCAGCTGCCTAAGAGGCCGAACTGGAGAAGGAGAGAGGCTGTTGGGAGCTGGTAGAAGCTGCTGGGTGCTGTTAGAAGCTGTAAGGAGCTGGTGGTTCTCTTGGAACCAACGGCTTAAAATTTATAACCCTTTTGTCCCTTATTCGTGCTCTTTAAGCCTCAGCAACGTGAGAAAAATGCTCAAAAACTGGGATGAGAACATTGTTGAGGAGAAGGAAAACACAACGCATAGAAAGGTGAAGCCACCCTGTCACTCCCACCATGTATATCAGCCAGAAGATGCCCGAGTTGGAAAAGGGAAAACATCTGACACTGAATCAAGCTTACTTCCTAGTAACATTTTATACTTGGCCACTCCAACTTTTTCTTTGAAAGTAGTTGTGTTTCTTGAAAGAGAAGATAGGATATGCTAATGTCAGCAGAAAAAGTATGAAAACTCCCTGTGTTCTAACTCAGCAAGAGATCTATAATTTCTCGGAAAGTTTGAATTAACGCTGAAGATAACAATATAATGTTGTTTTTATATTGTGTTTCATGGGTCATTTTTATATCATGTATCATGAATCAGGTTTTTTAACAAAGGAATGAATCTCACAAATAGTCTCTCTCTCCCTCTCACACAATCATGCACACACACACACACACACACCTTCTCAGAGATCTTTGGATTTGTCATTAAAAGGAATTGAAAAACTTTGATACCATACACTAGACTGGTACAGGACAGTCTCAAAACAATTAAATTGTCATCTTTTCTTACTCAGTATATTGCAGAGAACAGAACTAACAAATAAAATACTCAACCCAAACAATGCCTTGCATATAGTAAGTGTGAAATAGGTGATAGCTGTGATTACTTTAGATGCTGCCATTTGTGTATCACTGAGGGACGGACGGGTCACTGTTACTATCACTTCCTTTTTTCTCCTTGCACGCCCATTGTACTTACCACTTACAAAGAAATGTATTATGCATTCTCTTTCAATTTGTACCTTTTATTTGCAGATGCCAAGCCACTTTCCAATCACTAGAAAAAAAATCACACAAGTATGTTTTAAATCCTCAACAAAGTTAAATATTTACGAAGTTCTGGAAGGCTAATAAAGAACAATTCATTCAGACATGCCCTGAAGAATGAGTCTTTGTACCCTTGTGGAAAACTCTATTGAGAATGATAACCTCCACATCCTAGCAATAATTCACCTGACCTTCAATGTTATCATGGCTTTTCACATCCTCAGGAGCCCTTGTCCATGTAAGAATAGGGTGCAACAAGATCAACAGGGACATCGCCTAGAGCTAGTGTTCTTCTACAGTCTGCCTTTGTCGTAACATGGGTCGCAGTCGTCAGAAGACAGAAAAGGGCAAAGCAGAAATTTTCCCCTTCTCTTCCTGCCCCTACCTACTCCAAAGACAAATCGTTCCCCCTTTTTCAGCCATCTCATGTCAGCACAAAATTCAAGTCTTAAATTTCCTGACAATATGCATCCTCAACATAAAAATCTAAATAAAGGTTAATAAGTTTTTGAATCTTGTGATCATCAGGGCTGTTTTGGTTACTTTTCTCTCATTGCCAAGACAAAATACCTGACTCCCAAAATTAAGGAAGGAAATGTTTACTTAGTTCAAAGTTTGTGGAGGTTTTAGTCCATAGTTGGCTGACTGCAAGGCAGAGCGGCACATGGCAGAGGGCAACCGTTCATGGTGGCAGAAGATAGCAAAAGCAACAAGAGCAAAAGGGAGGAGTGGGGGCAAGCAGCCTCCTTGCCTCCCTTACATGTATAAACTATCCACCCAAGGGCGGGTGTAGCACTCACACCCATAATCCCAGCATAGGATCATGGATCAATCATAAACTCTAAAAGCTCACCCCATGACTGCATGAGGCTTTGGGGGGACATCCAGACACGAACTATAACAGGGGCTTTTCCACTCTTGGCCCTGTGATTTAGTCTTTATCATTCCTCATTTATAAGATTTTTCTGTAATTTATAGATTAGGAAAATTAAACACAAGTTCAAGTAATTAATAAGTGCTGGAGTTAAGGTCAACTGTTAGCCTTCTGGACCCAAACTACTTGTTTATTTAAATTTCTTATACTTTCTCAGCCTCTTAAAAAGTACTTTGTGCTCTTTAATGAAAGTTGGCTATCTATAAAGAAGTGGCAGATGTGGCGGCACATACCCATCCTTGCAGCATTCTGGGAGGGCCCAGCCTGGGCCACTTAGTAACTCCATGAGGGCCTGTTTCAAAG